ATGGAGCGAGAAAAAGATCGTATAAGCTGTCCTGCCTTCATGTTTCTCTGTGTTTGGCTGCTCTTGGGGACAACTGTGCGTCGTTCGTGTGTGACACTTGGGGGCTAAGAGGTCCAACGGTTTTGAACGCAAGGTCATCTATAGTAGTCGTGCCAATCCCACAGCATTGGTGTGTTCACCAAGAGCCTTTAGTTTCTTTACCTCATGATGTCTCAAAACTCGAAGATCAGATTCTATGTTATAATGCTCTTCTCAAAACTCCAGCCAAGTGGCATACAACTTTCCAGATCGACGCCTTCCCCACATCCGTCAAAGAAAGAGCATGCTCAGCATGGCAACAGCTTCGAAAGGTTTGTCAAGACATTTGAAGACCTGTGTCTGTTTGGGGCGCTACCAAGAAGACGCAAAAGCAGAAGAAGAAGGAAGAAAGAGGGAGGAAGACGCAGAAGCAGAAGAAGAAGAAGAAGAAGAAGGAGAAGAAGAAGAAGAAGGAGAAGGAGGAAGAAGGAGGAAGAAAGAAGGAGAGGAGGAAGAAGAAGAAGTCCGACCATGCCGAAGATTTGGAGTCCTCCGGAACCCTCCACCGAACCACATCCTCTCGCCTTGCGCTTTCAGGCCGCTCGTTCGACTCGTTCGACTCGTTTGACCGCCGAGGTGGCGTGCTGGAAGCTGTGCGCATCCGAAAGCAGGGCTTTAGCTGTCGAATGCCCTTCCAGGCGCCGCACCGTACAAACACGCCGAACCGCACCGACGGGGACGACCCGTTGACGAACGGACAGGGGGGTCAGTGCAGGGCAGGCAGAACTAGGCGATTCTCCCCGCACCTTTGTCTTTTTTGTCTTCACCCTCCATCAAATCAGCGAATCTGACCAACACAGAAGGGACTCCGTCCCGAATCCTAGACCAGAGAGATACTAGACAGCATGCACAGTGGCATTTTGTAGACTGTTGGCCTGCGCAAATGGATCCGGTGGTACCGCCTCCACTCCGCCGCGACGAAGGACTTCCTGCTCCGCTACCGCTGCCTAAGCCTGCTGGTGCCTGGATCCTTGGGCCAAGGCCCGGCCGGTGCGGATGGAAACCCGATGGTATCCAGATGTGGCTTGGAACCCAATCAAAACAGGACTTCCCTGGTGGTGTTCAAGTGGGTCATATCTCTCGGTGCTTCAGTGAGTGATCGACGCTCCAAGATCCGGCGATGGACACATAGAAAAGCGGCACCTCGTTGGTAGGAGAGACCAGTCAAGTGCACCTCGTGAATCGTTCGAGAGAGGCCCAACTGTTGATCTGGTGGCTTTATGAGAAGGTTCATGTCATTGGTGGTGTTTTTTTCCATGACTCCAGAAGACTCCAGAAGGTATTTTCTTTGCTTGTGCATGCTTGTGCTTGGGTAAGACTCCATACACACATCCCAGGACAAATCAAACCACGCATTGAAGGATGTCCTTCCGCATCCGTTTTTTCAGGAGAGCACCATGTGTACAACTGTTTATTGTTGTTGGCCGCCTATCGAGCTAGACTTCGGTCTACTAGATCAGTGCTCGACTTCTTCGAAGCGCGGTGTTGGACCCCCCAGCGAGAAGCCTCACCTCTTCGGACCCTCGTTCTGACCCCATGAGCACCATGAGCCCCAAAGAAACGGTTGTTTTTTCACCTGGCGCCCGGAGCCCCGGAGTTTGACCGTGCCCGGAAATCAGGTTGAGCTCATACGACTCGTCGATTCGGTTCACCTTTGGAATGCCATGGGCTTCATATTTTCCCACACCCAGCTTTTGGATTCCAACCTTCGGACCTTCGGCCCTTTGCCCCCAAATCTCGGTCAGCCCATCGCCGTGGAGATGCAGGCGCGACTGTGGAGATGCTGCTGCACTGGGCGGCCAAGCAACTCCAGCTACCAGGAGAGTTGCCCAGCTGCGGATTTCGGGTGGGTGAGGTGTTGGTTGGTGAGTGGAACAAAGTGGAAACTCTGGACGTGAAGCTTCACGGGTACAACTAACGAACTTGATCCAGAGTTGAGGATGTTTTGAAGTGTTTTGTGCATACCAGGTGGTCTTCCCAAGTTCTGAACAATCAAGAGACACTTGATCAGAATTGCTGCAATGGATTTGACATCTCGGAGACCATGAAATAAGGGTCTTGACTCTACATGGCCATACCTGGCCTCACAGCACCATCGATTTTCCAAACGAGTAAGAGACCAACCAACGACGACCAAACGAACAGGCCGTGCGGGGTCCAAAACGTCACCGGAATCGACGAAAGGAATGAGCGCTTGCTGCCTCTGTTGCTGTTTTGGGTCCATGCCCCCCACGGTGAACTGGCAGTTCTTGATCTCCCCGCCCTTGTCTTCTAAGGCCTCAGTTTGGGATGCTCGGCTGCGGGTTCGGGGCGTTTCGGCCATGTCTGACAGGGATACGAGTCCGTCAATATCCAAAGGGCATGTATAGGGTTGACTCGCGAGCCACTTGAGCTGTCTGATTCTCCCAGCAATCTTCTTTGATGATTCCTCAGTGAACTTGCCAAATTGAATGTGTTTGATCTACAGCCAGGTGCAAGTGGCCATAACGTGCCATAACTACTTGTAGCAACTAGCAGCTAGCAGTCACATGAACCTCAATTTCTTTCCAAGAAAACACAAGCAGATCCACTCTTCCGACAAGAATCTTCATGACTGGAGTCTATAGGCGTCTAGGGTCATTTAGTAAATATAAATATAAGTGTATATTGTATATGGTATATATTATTGTATATTGTACAACTTATTAAGTTTGGATTTGGATCTCTTCAATTTTCCCAACCTGTTGTAGTGACTCTATATAGTAGGTAGAACACATAGTTCCCAAAGGCTTTCTACGTATCCCTGTTGGGGCCACAAGACACCATGGGATATCTTCAGAAAGCCACCATCCACCCTGCACTAAGGAAGACGAAGGTGTGCAGAGAGTTGGGGGGGGGGAGTTTGGTGGATTGGAAATGGCCGTTCCAGGTCCTGAAAGGTTTTTCTGTGGAGGACGCCTTGTTGATCCTTGTTGACACACCGGAAGACTGGAGGTTTTGGTTGGAAAGTCCTTTTTGTTCGACGTGGATGTTTTTGAAGATTTTGAAGCCAGAACTGTGCTGTGCTGGTGCGGTTCTGTAAGATCTTGCATGCAAGACTTGGCTTGGAAGGAACCACATGAAGAAAACAATGCTGCCAGGTTGCATTTCACTGTTTTTGCTGCTAGTTCTTTTGTCAGTCATTCGCAGCTTTTTTAGAATGGTAGACGTCCTCAACTGCAAACTAGAGAAACCTATTTGCGAACCCTTCAACATGTCCATGCCCTTTCCTCCGAAGCCTCTCACTGCCTCTACGTACTTCGGAGTCCACCAGACGCCTCTTGCAGCCTCTTCACTGCCTCTCGCAGCCTCTTCACTGGCTCCACCGGAGGTCTTCTTACGTGATACGACCCACCTGGCACTGGAGGCTCATCGAAAGGCAGCAGTCCAGGTGCAGCGGCGCGGGGCGGCACGGCGAGCGGAGCGTCGCAGGCGACACCTGCGTTGGATGGTTTTGGGGAGTGTATTGAACAAAGGGAGGTCACCGGGGGGGGCCACTGGTCTATTTTCAAGCGAGGGTCTCAAGAAACGAAACACCCTAGTTACTTTTTTGGTGAGACTTCACGGTGATTCTCCCCTGCTTTTCGAGATCGGTTTCTTTTGGAGGCCAATCGGTGGCGAGTTCCGACTCAGGTGGCGATTCGACATCTACAACGACTCCTGCGGGGTGCCAGGCTTGCGCAGTGGGCAAGGATAGGTATATATGTTATGTAGTCTGATTGAGAAGGCCAGAAGGATTCTAGATTCTTAGAGATACCTGAGCCGAAACGAAGAGGACTGGTTTTACATGAACATCATAATTAAACATGGTCCATTCCTCACTTCCCACATGTCAAGTGTCTCATTTTTCTGTTTGCCAAGAGCAACCCAGACGCTTGTGAAACCCAGGACAACTCCGAGGAATCTCCAGGTCGCCCACTTTACAGACACCTCAGATTGGCCATTGGATGTCGCTTTTTCTTGGCCCAGCAGTGGCAAGAGATTCACATGAACACCTATATAATGAGTTCATGACAATGACAGCAGCAACACGGCTTGATTTGATGCATGGCCACCCCAAACCAAAAGACTTAACAGCTTTCAGGAAGGCAGAGGTAGAATCTACCATAAAGTTCACCTCCAGATTTTTCTCACTCACTTCTTCCAGATCTTTCTCCTCCAGATCTTCCCTTCACATGTTTGCTTCATCCTCAACCCCAAATATTTTATCTCATTTCTATCACTCTCCTTCAGGCCATCCGCAGGCCGACCCCGACCCTGATTCTTCTCTCGCCGCCGTGGATGCCATGGAGATGGGTACCCAAGGCTTCCCCACGGAGTATCAGGCCAACGCCTATGGGGAACTTCCGGGCGACAGTGTGCAACCGGAGCTCGAGCCCTGGCACGCCTATTTTTTTTTGTTTTTTCTTGATTACCGCGCGCAAGAAGAAGCGCTTGTTAATTTTCGCGCCAGAAGTGGTGGATGATTCGAGGATGTGTCCATACGTTTCGCCGAACGCCGAGGCGGCGGTCAGCAGACCGTTTGGCTGGGTCCAAGGTTCTCACCTAAAACCACTGAAAATCCATCCAACTGAACCTTTTCACCAGCCAACTTCGAAGCACTTCAGCCACTTCGAAGCACCTTCGAAGCTAAGAGTTTGCTGTGTTTCAGCCACTTCCAGCCCACCGAAGCTCCACCGTCCTCCGTCGCCACGTCGTCAAAGCGCTCGTTCGCTTCTCAGGAGGGCTTTCGTGTGCGCTACCCCATGGACGAAGCAGCCTGGGCCTACCTGTTGAAGAGTGGGCCTGATGTGCAGAGGGAGGCCGGACGATGGCTGACGTTATCGGTTTTGGTTGTTTTGGGTTGTTTGGTGTGTTTTGGTTGTTTTGGTTCTTTGTGTTTTGTTTTGAGTTTTGGTTCTTGATGGCCTTTGGTTCTTCGGACGGTTCCGGAAGAATGACCCTCCAGGTCTCCCTAGGTTTGAGTGGTCTTCTTCCGGAGAATCGTTGGAAAGAAATATAAAAGAAACCACACGACATCGGTTTATTGGTATATTTGTTTTGAATTCCCCTCCGAAGACCTAGGGGTTCTGCGTCCGGATGTGGCAGTGCGTCAAAACCTGAAGCTGGGAAACCCTGGGTAGGTTGAACCATCAACAGTATGTTGACGTGGACATGGCTACCACAAAGATCCGGGATCCAAACAGGCTTTTGTCTTTAGTCTGTTCCTCCCTTTACCAGTGCTTGTATCATTACACATTCTTAGATTCTTTGAAGAGGACAGCTTTTTGAAACAACCTGTCGAGTGAGAACAGAACTTCCGCTCGATCAACAGAATCTCCGACGTCACGTCCAGGTGTTGAAGGACTTCAAGCCCAAGGAAGAGGGCCAAGCAGACTACTCTGCTTTGGTGATCTCCTTCTGCAAGAGGCCAGTTTTGCTGGTCAGTTCTTGCAGATTCAACAAAGCTCCTAGTAGCGTCCTTGCTCCTAGTAGCGATGCCAGGAACCCCGAACGTAGCGTCCTTGCTCCTAGTAGCGATGCCAGGAGCCCCG